GGAAGCCCACAGACACAGTCTATATTACCAAGGTCCTGGTCAGACCACCACCTCAAGGGAAAGAAATAGGGGATCATTCTTGGAAGCAGAGTCATCCCGAAAGATTATCGAGTGTCGATTCTGGGCTCGGTCTTACCCAAGAAGATGGTGAAGCATCTCGTAGGGTTTCGACAAGCAGCGATACATCCACTGCTTCCTCCTCTGGAGACAATGCATCTACGCTGTCTCCTTCGCAAAGGCTTCAGAAACTCATGCTACGAGCTTGTCGACTTACAAATAGACGGGTGAGTTGGCAGTAAAGAGTTAACCTGAATTTACCTCATGATTATACGCCTTGGCGCTGTGAACGTCAGTCCTGGTGACGATATGTAGAGAAAGAACGTGCCAGTGCATTAAAAGCGCCTTGTAGGGTTCTGCACCCACGAAGTTCGTGGTCAGTCGAAAGGGATTTCGTCAGGGTGGAGCAGGACAGGGTGTGAATAAATGCAGCAGCTGCACTATTTTTGAGGAGCTGGGACCTTGTAGCTTATGCAACCACCAGTTGCGGGAGATGTTACACATACTGTATTTTTATGTCGTCCTTCTTGCTGGTATGTATGCATGCATGCAGCCATTCTTGCTAATGGAGCAGAAATGAATGGTAGCTACGTAGTTCATATTCGAGAGACGTGAGAACACGTCTCAGAGCCGAGGGTCCGGAAAAGCTGGCCTTTCACCATGACTGAGGTCTGCTCCAATAGCCTGAGTAAACCATTGCTTAACTCCACATTCAGAGTTTGTTGACGGAGGATCAGCAAGAATGGTGTCGAAAAGAAAAGGTGTTGAAATTCCTTCATCATCGTCATCGGGCAGCCTTTCCTTTCTCGTTTCCGTGGAGAGCCCGCGACTCTCGCCTGGAACGAGGCGCATCCTAGTTTGGAATCGAGTATTTTGTGGAACATTTTAGACTTTTTGCACTGATAATTGTCACCATTGAATTCAGGTAAACTCACGTTGGGGACGGTAATGATATACGGATTTACGTGTAGTATTGGAACCCCCTAACGAGTCGTTACCCTCTCATTAGTGTTACCTTGCATAATTGCTGTTTGTCATGCAAGAGTAGGCATCGAGCCAATTATTTTTCTCTTACAAGTTTTCCTTGTAAGAGTAAGTAACTTTACAAGTTATTACGTAAGTAATGCTACAAGTAAAACTTGTAGCATTGCTTTCTTTACCAGACATGCACTTGGAATTTTGAATATTTCACAGTGGAAGGTAAACGTGAGAGGAACTGCATGAGCCAAGTCCAAACTAAAAACGGAGATGGGTGTCACCGTGTATGTGGTAACGTTAGATGGGGCATTGTGTCTGTAGGTCTGCATGTGCTTGGAAGGTCTGGTTCTCGAGATCCCTTATAGAGTCAATGGAATGGAAGGCCAGGACATGGCGTTGACAAACTCTCCCTCACACGGTGGGGTTTGTGTCATAGAAGGCCTTACCTCCCTCGCATGTTATTCTGTTCACGCACGCACACGCGCTTTTCCTTCCTCGTATTTCGTAGAGAACTTCCAAAGGGGGAGGGGTAAAGGGCTATTTACGTATGGGTATATCTATGGCTATTTTCGAGAGAAGGAAGGGAAAAGATTGAGCCAAGACCCTGACTCAGCCCTTTGACCATAGTTCCATCCTCGTGGGCCTTTGTACAGTCCGGTTTTACTGATGAGTCCGCAACACCTTGACCTATTTGTGTTGTCGTCTTTCTAGTTCCTTAGAGAAAATGTTGAAGTTGTTCCTGTTTTCATGAGATGCTGTCAGATAGATTGACAGATGGGGATGTGAATTCAACCGATAACCAGGTATAGGCGAAACCGATTCTCAGGGACCCCTTGCTCAACCTGGAACAGCCTTCCCGTGCTGTTTTTACTAGTTTGGTAGTTTTCCACATGTTTATGTCCCCATATTTGCACGTTTTCTACATTTCATGAAAGAAATTATCGTATTAAGCCCGCCAAACCTATTCCTCGGTCTAGTCCGAATAAATGAGTCGGTATACGTAATACTGATGACCCGTTTGAATGACCGGCATTCCTCTATAGTCTTGTTCGCGAGTTTTATCGCTGACATTCAAAGCCAAAGGCCTCATGAGGAATAAGTGGTTCCTTGTCCAGGTAGCGTCTTGGTTTGGAACCAGTTCATGGTCATTGGCTCTACTATCCGGTCCGTGCATGAGGAAAGGATAACTTCGATGTCGAAATGCTTCTCACACGTGAACACATGTGCGTGCGTATCTTAGCTGGTTCAACGTAGAGGCTTTCTATGCTGTCCTCAAAAAATTCCCTGAATTCGAGCAGCTGGCTTTCGCCACTTACGCACTCCATTCTCCGAAGGATTGAGTTTTCTCGCCAGCTGCTTTAAAAAAACGTGACTTGGCCATGTTAGGAGCCCCGCAAGGAAAGCATCCTGCAACAGGGTTGACAGGGTTGTGAAATCGAAAGGGCTGAGGCGGCCATCCCTCCTCGGAGGCATCATCGCGGTATGAAAGAAGCCTCTAATATATGGTCGGGTAAATTAATAAGTGGCCTCTTGCCACGAGGCGATTATTGGACTAGGATTTACAACCGGACGCGACGTAACTTCTAGTCGTGCCATAATTCTCAGAGGAGGCCAATTCACCGGCGTTTTTCATGTCATTTCAGACATACAATCGGCACCCCAGAGACCGCCTCTGGTTATTTGCCTTCATTCCAGGCCCAAGAGGAGATCCTGGCATTCACCGCATTGCAATTAATAAGTTCTTAATGGTGGTTCGTTCGTGACTTGGCCCACAGGGAGAAAGGTGTTGAGGGGATTAGTTCTCTCCTGCCCGGAACTTCAAGTGGACTCTTCTTGGTCTTGCGCAATATTTTCCCTTCTACTCCGTCTTGCGAATGTTTGATAGTAATAAAAGCTCCTCACCTGTCAAATCGAGAAGCCGAAGATTCATTACTTAGTGGGGGGGGGGGTCATTTCACCTTCCTAAATGCTCATTCCTTGCACAAGGCGGAACTAAAAACCCCTATTTGGTGAATTGGAAGGATCGAAAGTTCATTGGGTATGCCGCATTTATTTTAGGCTTAGAAGCACTCATTTTACGGGACGAGTAAAGAAAGCTTCCACCTGGTGGGGTCGTGGGAAGGGGTTCATTTACATTGATCATCCCTCTTCGTAATGAGTTTAGAAAACGATTGAGGATAGTCCGCCTATTCCAGTGTGACCCTTGTGGTCAATCTAGTGGACTCCTTCCGCAAGTTTCCACCTTGACCCTCCTCCAGGTATACGACGATTCTTAAAGAGAGATGGTGCACTTAGAAGACGGGTTACGTGTCCGCACGTCCACGGGTCCCGCTAATGTCAATGACTGGCCCCACTGGGATGTGCATGTTAATGTCCAATAACTTCGAAAATTGCCTGGACGGGATAGTTGTATGGACCCCTGACGAGAACAGTAAGAAAACTCGGCTTCTTCCTCGCACGCAGAATGCACTCTTGCAGTCTCATCATTTCTGCTTATTTCTTCGCATGTTGGAGCTTGTAACCCTGGGTCAAGGGTACTTTGCTCAAGCTGATGCTGTAGAACAAAGACCCTTTTTTTTCGTCGATTCATGCTCCCACCCGGAATCTCTGAAGTAGGTATTGGGTCGCCCGGGCGAGGATGAGGGAGAAAGTAGCTGGAAAAGAAGGTATGGGGAGAATGACCGGAGGAGAGAGCGAGGAGAACCGAGGGAGGTAAAGAGAGCATTGCGTCATGTCATTCCACGTTCTATAAGGGTCAATTCTCCATCGTCATACGAGGGAAGGGAGACCATAGGGTGGACCATGTGGCTGACCAATCTTTGTACAAACCGTACCCCTGGTTAATGCTGCTCATTCCCCCACAGCCTCCGTGACAAGGAAAGACGGTAGGAAAAAGGGAAACTTCCTGAAACCAATTGGTGGCTTTTTTGACTCGTCACGTTCTACTCTTACTGGAAATGGAATATGAATATATTAGTACTTTCCCGGAGACCTTGACGAAGGGAAACCACCCACGCGTTTACTCTCCAGTATGGTACGGATGTACACCTCGCCCATGATTGATACATGGATATGCTAACACGAAACGGATCCTGGATTATCTGTCCTTGGGGCTCCAGGTAGCTAGGAGCCCATCTACATGGTGAGAGCTCCTGTTTGCTCCCTCAAGGGACGAGGACTTCATAAATAGCCCCAATTACCGAGTCTGGAGATGGATTGTAGAGATAGGATCATGAGATTGTTCTGAGTTGCCGCTTCGAGGGTGGGGCGCCCACACATGATGAAGGCACAATTCGAGACATTACTCAGAATGGAGTAGGAAGATAACAAATAAGAGCAACGTTACATGGGACGTCCTGTATGGGGACGAACGTAAAAGAGACAGGGAGAACCAGACAAAGTGCGGTGAACTATATGTTTCATGAGAGATAGCATCACAAGAACATGGGTTTCGTCAAGGTCGCCCTTTGAAGCAGCCCTGACGTGCAGCTGATGTCCCCAGGAGGCTCATGATTCATTCCATCACACTTCTATCGCAAAATCTCAAAATTCCAAGTGATATAATATTTCTGTCTTGATAAATCTTCTCACCTGTCACAATTACCTTCAAGGGATAATGTACTGTGTTCTCATATCATCTGTCTCTCCCTCAGATATACTTCCCACTTGAAGACATGAGAAACATTCCCTTCACCTTGGCTGCAGTGATGCGATTTTGCAAAAAATGCGATTTTTTCACTTATCGCTGCCCTTCATACTTTTCCCATAAATTCAGGGAAAAACTGCATGTTTCGCTTAAATTTGATGTACAGCACACAAAAGTTACTTTACAGAGAAAAAATATATAGCCCATTTATGGAGAGGACCTTTCAGTTATTGTACCACCCAAGGATGGAAAGGTACTTGAACCTGCCTAAAGAATTTGAATGCTAGCAGAAACAAGCCACTACTCCTGGTGGCCCATAATGAGAGTCTGATCTTTTTGTAGTGCAAAAAGATTTATCATCAGAGGACTGCATCGCTCATTCTTGTTTTGAAAGTAACTTTTAAACATTTTGTGGTCTGTATTTCTTGACTGACATTGGAATGTTGTGATTAGGAGGCAACAACCCCAGATCGAGAAGAGGGTCCTGGAGTGAGTGGAAGCATTGGAATAGTGGAAGAACCACCAAGTCCAATGCCACGACCTCTCCCACCATTTCCCCCTGTCCCAATGCCAAGAAGCAGCACAGCTCCTCGACTTCCTGCCTCAGACTCTCAAACCCCCAGTCCGGAGCCTCAACCTGTTGTCTTCCTTGCTGAAGATGAAGTCTGCTCCCATTGTCCTTCTAATCTAAATTTTTATTTAATATTTTTATCATCAATTGTTTTATGTTTTTTATGGAAGCAGCCTCCTGAAGTGCCAGTCCGTCGACCCCCAAGGAGGGAACGAGATTCTGCCTTTGAACCACATCGGGTCTCTGCATATCCATCAATGCCTTCAGGGATGTCAGTGGATCAGTTCCGCTTCATCTCCGTCTTGGGGAGAGGTCATTTTGGAAAAGTAGGTTTTAAGTCAAATCTTTATTTTTTTTCAGACCATATTGGAGGAAACATGCATTAACATCATCGCATTGATATTGTCACAGGTGATACTGGCCCAGTACCGTAATACAGGAGAGTATTTTGCCCTGAAGGCCTTGAAGAAGGGTGACATCATGGCACGAGATGAGGTTGAATCACTCTTAGCAGAAAAGAGGATCTTTGAAGTTGCCAACTCCGTCCGGCATCCTTTCCTTGTGAATCTGTTTGCATGCTACCAGACAGAGGTTAGCTTTACTGACCACATTAACTGCAACTGCCCTAGTAAAGAGAAGGTAATGCTAATCATTGTGTTTTACTTGGTTTGACTGTTTGCAGACACATGTGTGCTTTGTCATGGAGTATGCTGCAGGAGGTGACCTCATGATGCACATTCATGCCGATGTGTTCTCAGAGCCTAGAGCCATCTTTTACGCTGCATGTGTTGTCCTCGGCCTCCAATTCCTCCATGAGAACAAAATTATATACAGGTACTGTTTACCAAAAAGTGCATGATACATCACATGGGTTTTGTGCTGCTTTGATGAATTGTTATTGGAATTAGATTCATTTTGCAACTTCCAGCTAACACTGCATTTTTGAAATGTAATCAACAGAGATCTGAAACTGGACAACCTCCTCATGGATCCTGAAGGGTATGTCAAAATAGCAGATTTTGGGCTGTGCAAAGAGGGGATGGGCTTTGGGGATCGGACTGGGACATTCTGTGGAACTCCTGAGTTCCTTGCTCCTGAAGTTCTCACTGAAACCTCATACACCCGAGCTGTTGATTGGTGGGGGCTGGGTGTGCTGATTTATGAAATGCTAGTTGGAGAGGTGGGCTCAATATTCCCATATTCCAATCATCCATCTGTTACCACTTGTGTCAAGAGCTTGTTACTATTTTTCACAGAGCCCCTTTCCTGGAGATGATGAAGAAGAGGTCTTTGACAGCATTGTGAATGAAGAAGTTCGTTACCCAAGATTCCTTTCACTGGAGGCCATAGCCATTATGAGAAGGGTAAGCAAAGTTTCTTCCCAAGGCACTGATTCTGGACACTTTACCCACACAATTGACCTTTTTTTTTTTCCCTTTTTGCAAGCAGCTTTTGCGCAAGAACCCCGAGAGAAGGCTGGGATCCAGTGAAAGAGATGCTGAAGATGTGAAAAAGCAAGCTTTCTTCCGCTCTGTGCACTGGGATGACCTCTTGAAGAGGAAGGTCAAGCCTCCTTTTGTACCCACTGTGGTAAGTATGAAGAGCCCTGTGATTAGTCTTCAATGTCTGACAGTCTAGCATGAAATAGCATTCCTTTCCTTCCTTTAGCGATCTCCTGAAGATGTGAGCAACTTTGATGAGGAGTTCACATCGGAGAAGCCAGTCCTGACACCACCCAAAGATCCTAGAATACTCACAGAGGCAGAACAAGCCTATTTCAAAGACTTCAATTATATGGCAGATTGGTGTTGAGACTCACTCCCAGTGTTCAGATATCTGGAGAGAAACTCCAAAGGAATATTCTACATGCCATGACAAGTGTTTTTTGTGTGTCAGAAGTTGGAGGCATTTTCTGAAGCGCTTCCCAGATCTCTGGACCCCATGCAGGAAACAGAAGCTTGGAGAGAGAAGTGTGATGGTTTTAAAATCTGTTTTTCTCCTTTGTATAGTGATGTTTTCAGATTTTACTCTCTCCGTCCTTCAGTGCTGAGAAGGTACACATAGCCCATATGTGGGGGCTACAGTAAGGATATTTCTTAACTGCAGCTGTTAGTTTGTTTCTTATAATGCCACCTCAAAGCTCAATAAAAAGAAAATCAATGTAGATGATTAAGATGCCTATTGAGGAACCAGGAGGGTGATGATGGATCTTTGCCAGTATGGCAATACTGTTATGGAAGACTATTAAATGAGTACATGGCTACATTGGTCATGGACAAGAGATCTCAAGACACCATCACCATCTTCATCCTGAAAAGAATTGAAAACCCCTGGGGTTCCAGTTTGCTTTCTGTGGAGGTTGTGTGAGGCTTATATGTGTAGCTCATGCTGTGGTTTTTTAATCCCTTTGTCACTCAATTTCTCAGCTAGGTTTCCCTTCATGAGTCAAGGAAAAATATTGCTTTCAAGTGCCTTCTTAGGTCAAGAATTCCTTTCTTCATCCCCATGTTAAGAAAGTTGTTGGAAAGAGTATTTTGCTCTGTAAGTGAAGCAGCAGGAGAAGGGCGCTGCCAAGTTTTTTATTGTCACAGGTGCTAAAGTGAATAGTGCCTCTCAATGTCCTCCCCCTCTTTTTTTTGCCAGAAAAAAGATGTTCACAAAATTTTTTGGAAATAAAAATAGTGAACTCCTCAAGCTTATGTGCGACACTGCATTTGAACAGAACTTTATTCATTTTATGGCCATGTTATGGTCTCATGAAAGTATGATGAGCACTTACACATGATCACTCCTGGCCTTATGGAATTGGTTCTTCCTGGTCCCATTTTTCAAGTTCTTCCACTTTCTTCTGTTTGAGTTTCCTAAATTGCAATACTTTCTCCTCCCTGAGCTGCTGCTTCTGCTGCAAATCAGTAGCCAACAATGATGACATCCCCCAGTCAGCATCATAATATATAATAGTACCATCCTTGGATACCATTGCCAGGGAAATCCTGTAAGGAAGCAGATGCAATATATCAAGAGCAATTCAACAACTTCATGAACAAATTGATAATCCCAACCTGCTAGTTTTTGCATCCGAGTCAATCATTTGGAAGAACTCTTGTATACATCTCATACTGAGAGGAGAGGATTCTGATATGGGAATCACAGTCTGGGAATCACCCTCTCCATTGAATTGACAAATCAGATACACTGCATCCAGAGCTTTACAGTAATGCCAACCCAAGGACCTCTGTGAACAAGCTGCAAAATTTGTCAGAATAATTAAATGGTTTACTTACATCCTCATTAAAAACCGTGTGGAGAAACAATATGCTATACAGTTCTAATCAGAGATGCATCAATCAGGCCAGTCTGAGGATTCAGAAACAGTAGAAGAGGCAAGCATGATATTTATACTTTTGGTGTTTGGCTGATGCTTGGTATCAGTGCACCACCCAGACTGATGAAGAAAAAAAAAAGGATCATGGGATTTTAGCGATAATGTGGAGTCTGAATAATTGCATCTAAAAACTCTAGGGAAGAGGGTATAATTTGGAAAGTCAGTTTGGCTTTCAAAGTTGGTTTGGGGAAAGACTGAACTCTATAGTTACAATCACTTGCTCATGGTCTAGCTCATGATAAATGAGGAGGGAAAAAATGGCTGCTCCATTATTTTTCACTCTTCACTGATGAGTGAAGTTATAATGTTTGGAATGTAATGCACCATATACTTGAGTTTAGGACATATGTCACCCTCTCCTATCTAAATATTTCACAGATAATGTCTAATAGCACCTAATCACAGGATGGGGTTTTCAAAATAAATAAACAAGCCACAATAAAGCCACCATGATGTGTTGTGAAGCAGTGGTCCAAATCTTGATCTGATTGGAGAAAATAACTCTACTTGGAATAATTCAGAACTACAAATTTAAATAACATCTCTACTCGACCACTGCTTAAGTGTCATATTGACCTTGGATGAAGTCATTCAGTGATGATAAAGATTGGCCAAAGATGGTCTTTACACATGCAAGTATTCTCATGTAACAGTTACTCAAGGATCATTCTCAGACTACCACTGTCAGTGAGAATAATTTATCAAAATAGGATTCTAGATTCCTTTGAAGTACTTACACAACAATTGTCATCCATGGAAATGACCTCACACGTGAGTAGTTTTCATGCAAGTAAAATTGAGTGCAAATGTACCCTTAGTCTTTGGAAATTGAAAAGTGTCTCCTTGAGAGTAGCAGAAGTAGCCATTCCTAGCTGTCTTCACCCAAATCTGTTGTATAACTAGATGGTATAGTCCATTTGTTCAAGGAAGAGCTCTGTGGTGACACATTTTTCTACTTTATAACTATTAGAACACCCACTTTTATGATGGTGTTTAACACTTGTTGACAGCTGAGATTTATTTCTTTTGGCTAGCTCTATTCTCCATCCACCCTTTCATATAACACGCATTACGTTCTGTCTTACTTTGATGAAGCTTTCTTGTGAGATGATCCAATTTTTTGCCAGTCCCATTCTTAGCCAAAGCTAGATGCTCTGCCAACAGAAACCACAAGGAAGTGATGGGTTATCTTCTGATGTAAAAGTGGTGAAAGGAAGAGGGAAGAAATCAATTTAAAAATAAGGAGGTTGGAATTCAAACATTCAATGCTGCTCTTCATCAGAGGGCTCATTCTCCCTGAGACAGATGACTGGCTACAATGCAAAATCTGCAATTTTATCTTTTCATATGTATTCTCTTTTTGCTTTCACCAATCTTCAGTAACTTTATCCAGGACACACAGAATCACAGTTTCAATAACTCAAGACAAATGAGTATTTTTTGTTCATACTTCAATACTGTCTTTCCCTTATCCCACCTGGATAAGGAAGGTGAGAGAGGGGTCTTGCCAACAACAGAATTAGAGGCCACACCCTTGCTTTCCATGGGAATAAATGGGAGATCATCTTCCTGAGAGGGTCTCAGACTTTCCCACATAAGAAAAATCACAATAGCTCAGTTTCATAGCAAGACAGAAGTTGGAATATCGAAGAAATAGAGGCTCGAAGCTTTTCATCTTCCCATCCAACCACCCACCATACTCTCATAGTGTACCCTCCCCAAATGCATAATAAATTGTAATAATTTAACATTCACATGCAATAGCCCTTACTAACCCTGTAACTACCAGAACCTGGATAGTCACATGTTTAACTTTTTGTTTCATCTCTCCATCCTCAAAAAATCTCTTCAAAATACTTTGCCAATTTATTATCAGGTCTTCATGAAAATACACAGAGTTTACTTTTCAAGTTCATGACACAGCCTACACAAATGGTTACATTTTTGTATCAGGGCCCACTGGACTCAGAACAGTAGTTACAAGGATAAATCTTTGTCCTCAACTTCTATCAACAGGGCTCTTCTTTGAACAAATGGACTATACCTTAGAACAGAGCTACACATAGAATCCAAGCTTATATCCCATATGTCATAGGTAAAATATGTCATGATTTTTTTTATTAGCCAAGGATCACTGTGAGACAAGAAGCATTGCATTTTTGACCTCACTTACAATATCCCTTTCCAAATGAAAAAAAAATAAAAGTGCACAGAATCCTTCAAAATGAAGGAAGAACTTACTGTCGCCCAAATCAAGATATACCTTCTTGGCAGCTTCAAGTTGCAAGATGTTATTGGTTTTGAAGTCCCAAATAGACTTTGAATCCATTCTTCCTTATACTCTTACACTCCTAAATCACAGGAAAATAGTCCACTAATACTTATTAAGAAAAAAAGGTTTAGTGTAGCAGATGCACTGCTGACAGGTAATGTGGCTGGAGCACCCACATTCACATGAAGTTCTCATAGATGAATTATTTGAAAGTATTCATGCATGGATTCCCTTTGAGGTAGTCTGATGCGATGCGCTCCACATCATCCAAACTGAGAGACTCCACACTTTGTTGGAAAATCTTTTGGAACTCTCTCATAACCTTGTCAGCATCACTCTCAGAGAAACGTTCCTCCAGGAATTTTTTCAGTTCACTCCAAAGAGGTCCTTGAGGAGTTGATGAGGCAGTGTTGTCCTTCACAGGGAACAAGTGGACCTTAGCTCCATCTGGGATACCATATGATGTGATAGTATTATCATTCTCCAGAGTCTTCCCCCTACATGAACAATGAGAAAATCAAGGCCAGTCCATGCAGTAGCTCTAAACAACTGATAATTTTATGCAACTAGAAGTCACAAGGTTAACTTATCCTCAGATGATCTATTTTAAAATTAATTTAATAGCAGTGGCTTACATCCATTTTACAGCACCTGGCTCAGGAAATTTCTGTCTTTGTCATGGATATCTGACAGGTTTGCATGCAATCGTGGAGTTTAGATGGCAATTAGAAGGTTGCCAACAACTATGAAGGCCTAACTGAGAATATGACAACATTCACTGTTGTGTACCCTGGTTTTCTGAATTGTGCATGTTAAGCATTCATCTGATCAAATTAGTCTAATTTTTGTTTCAAGACGTCTCCTAATCAGGAAGACATCAAGTAAGCCACTTGAAGCAATACTTTGTGTTATAATTTGGAAAAAATGCATGGAGTGAGGATCAAGGATTTTGGGTCTCTATGGTTTGTCCAAGGACATGATTAGTGATGTTAAGAAAGTTAACTTAAAATAATAAATTAAGCTACATTGATTTTCTAATAATAATCTCTGAGAAATCACAGCACAATCCACGAATGTACCTAGCACACCTGAATCCAAACGTAATCAATAAACAGTGTTTGACCTAAATGTGTCACCAAAATAAACTAACGTTAAAATCATTTAGTGCTAACTGGGCCTAAAACTCTCACCTGAATACAATCCTCTGCTGGGAAGGAGGTATATCAAGCTGGAGAGACACTTGGTGCTTCAGTTCCCATATGGTTGCTTGACTTCCTACCTTAACAGCACACTCCGGACCGCTTGGGGTAAGAGCCTTGACGAATATGATCATAACGAGCCCTAATTAACTACCTCGGCTCCGAGTTCAACATGGCACTGGCACTGACACGCCTAGTGGTAAATTCACTCCATGTAGGTTCGGAGGCTGCCATATGCACAGTCCCCTTCCACAGCTGCGAGACCGTCTTCATTCCTTCTCATTTCCATCCTTCTTCCTGTTTCTAAAGTAAATTCACATTTTTAAAATAAATAATAAATAATGAAGTGCTTTCAGGTGTGTGTAAATAGCATTTAGGGTGATGAAGACCTTCGGGTAATTTGTCACGAATCGTTCCTTTTTGTCCTTCCTGGGCTAGCAAACAATATTGACGACAATTTCTTAAGGCGACTATTTTCTTGGCATGACAAACAGAAGCAAAACAACCCTTGAAGAAGTTAAGCCAAAGCACGTGGAATGAATCAATCCATGTCAAGGTGCGAGCCTTGAGTTCATACGTGAATGTTACATATACAATTTTTTCTCTGGAACGAATGGAATTTTACATGGGAAACCGGAACAATGTATATATCACTAGAATCGCTTTTTCATGTGCAACGAAATGATTTGATCCTTAAGTTGTGAGCAAAACAAGTATGGGAGAACCTTGGGTTTGATGTAATAGTTATAATCTTCAGAAAATGCTATGCCCTTTAGTTCTTGTCTGCAGGGCCGCCCAGAGGTTTCTAGGGGCCCAGAGCAAAACTAAACTGGAGACCCTTTGAGGCCCTTTGGAGGGCCCCCTTGGGACCCCTTGATACGCGGGGCCCAGGGCAGATTGCCCCATTTGCCCCCCTCTGGGCGGACCTGCTTGTCTGTAACGTTCTCCTCCGTGAACCCAGGGAAATTTGAATGAAATTTTATAAAATTTTCTGAATTGACACTGATTCATCTGCTTTTCATCCGCACATGAAAACCACCTGCAAGAGGTGACCAACCCAAATAATGAATTTATAGTAAATGAAAGAGGAGTTTGACGTGATCTTGATGACCAAGGACAGTGCTTCAGTGTTTTCTCCACTCCACTACCAGCAAAAACTCTTGTCCATTCGGAATGTCTTACTTCTTTTCAATAGCTGCTAATAGTATTGCTGCGGTCCAATAAATTTGGATGAAAATTTGGGATTCAGTTGGCAACATACTTATGCATGCATTGTGCCGGTTTTGCGCAAAAAAGCTCCAGTGTAAGTGGAGATATATTGGTTAACCCTTTTACTGTTCGGCAAAAAAAATATCTGCCCCTCCCCTACCATGTTATACAAATTTGGACTGTTTAACCAAAAAACAATGGTTTATTGGTAAACAGTCCCAACTACCCAATTAGCCAAACAAGGTAAAAAGTTTAAAGCATCATATGAAAATTATTAAAGAAAGCAGTTACATGCATAAGGTGAAATAACCTAGAAACAGTGTATGGTCAGAGCCATACATACTCAGGCTACCACTACATACAGCAGCATGAGGAACTCAAATATGTACTCTGGCAAACAGCAAAAGGGTTAAATGCCATTGGTATTTTTTTTGCCATACCCTCTATGTCCCTATTGTTTGTGTGGTTACCAAACTTATACACAAGCAGACCTCAAACTAGAAAGAGTTGTTATCATATCTGAAGTATGTGGAGTCACTTTATAAATCAGTCAACACAAATGAGTATGAATGGGTTTATATAAAAGATTACTCAAGAGAAAGAATATAGAAAAGTCAAATGTATGGACCAAAATGGCCTCTATACATGAAAAAGGCCTATTTTGGCCAATACATGAGGGAAAATTCTCTGATCTTGATCACTTGCAACTTTTATTAAATGATTAGAAGATCTTGCATTCATAATTTGGAGTTCCTGTGAGTTTATGGCATAAAATCACCCATTTATGAATTTTATGTGACATAATGTAAAAACATCTACTCAGACTCTTGTTATAACATTATTAAGGATAGAGAGAAAGCCTATTTAATCCCTTACCACATACTACAGGGTGTTCTGAAAGTTTCTGACCCACTAAGGTGAAGATGGAGAAAAGATTGACAGGAATATATTGCTTTAATTACATTCCATATAGCCAAGAATACCCAAGGTTCCAACTCCTACATCAATACTTGATATGATTTCCACGGACCTCAGAGAAACCTCAGATCAGCACCCCAAATCTCTCAACCAACTGACGGATGACGCTCGTCACATTTGTTTCTCACTCCACTTAGAACTCCGGTAATGACTGATGCCTGATTTATGGAGTGGGGCTGACACAGAGCACTCTACTGGAACTTGTGCCACAGGTGTTACAGATGCTCAGGTCCGGACAGTTCCTTGGTAAATTCTTCTAGACATGTACCATATTCTCTTGAATGGTACAGAATGTGAAGCAAGCCTCCAAGGCATGGGCCTCTGTCCTGCATCAGCACTGCCTATTTTTTGTCTGAGCAGATCACCTGGATAATCATGTAGCCTATGTAGATAAGCAGAATGTTTTCACTGTAGCTGGCACAGCATTTAGTCACATCTTGTGTGGGTGGGTCAAAAACTTTTGTTTTTGACCCACCCACACAACACTCTGTCTGTCAAGTATGATACAAAAAATCAAATTTATGCTATTTGCATGATGTAAAGCTATGTTGACAAAGTGTATAATGAGGTATATTAGATACAAAGCTCCCAACCCACCTGTAATATACTACCAAAGTGCATCAGAGTGAAACACTACCTCTGCTGTAATCTGGCACCTGTTGTGTGGAAGCAGATTGATGAAAACCAGTGATCTTCATTTTTTATTGCATGATTTGATCTGGTGCTATGAATATTAAATTACTAGGATGTTCCCTACACATTCAGGGCCATGTAGGTCCATTTTGCTATTGACTGCCTCAAAATTAGGAGTGCATGCATGAAAAAAACAGCTTGTGCTAAATGTGAGACAGCATGGAGTTTGGTGGTACTGAAAATATGTCTTCCAAGCAGAGGGTTATTTGGTTCCTATGATAACAATTTTCACACACCACAGTGCCTGTCCTGGCGGCAAGCCTTCTTTGCCTAAGTGCTTACAGCATCAATAAATATCTTGCTTTTCCAGTGTCTCAAAACGCCTTAAAGAATCTACTGTTGGTGAGAGGGCTACATCACTCTGCTTTCAGATTACTATTCATATTTTACCATTGTGAAGGAGTGGAAGAAGAAAGGCTTCAGTGTCTTAATGATAAGGGTCCACAATGTTCTCAAACCATATTGGGAAAATTCTAACTGTGGTTCGGCAAAGGAGTAAAAAATCTAAAAGCTCTCATTCGCATCAGAAAATCCACCAAGACCATCATCAACTAAGTACAACAGATGACAATCCACCAACCCAAGGGTTCATGGCCAAGAAAGTAGGAATGTCTGTGGAAATCCTCAACCACATCAACAAATATCTGGGACTGTGGAGGAGATTCAAGATCCACAAACTTCTTCCTGGCCATATTCAAGAGGACAAAACTGATGCCTGAAAGCTCTATAAACACCATCTAGAGAAAAATGGATATACTGGGTGGCCCAAAAAAAAGTTCCCAAATTTATGCATCTGTAGACAGAACATCATATTAGGTATAGTCTTGACATTTTCAGTGTGTCATATCCAATATGTGTAAGTAGTTTCAGGAAATTTTCAATGAAATTCCCTGCTCTGTACACAAGTAAAGGCTCTTTCTGTGTGAGTTGTCGAATGAGCTTGAGTGTCAGTGCCTTTGCCTTAAGTGCTGCCTCAGAGAGCAATCACTGGAGGACCCATGAAAAAATTTGAAGTTAGCAGCACTTCTTTGCACACTCACCCTTTTGACATCACATGGGAGAAAAACTGTTAGGTAACAACCAATTTCATTGAAATTTTTGACATGACCTGCAAATATTGAATGCAAAATCCTGTAAATTTCCTGTCGATATTGAACTTCTGTTTTCCCTCACATCTTTTCTGCACGTGCTGCTACAAGATTTGAAGGAATTTTTTTTTTATTTCTCTAAATGGAGATGCTACCATGGAAAGGGTTAATATACCTCAAGAAATTAATCAAATATAATTTTTTCCCAGCAAAATAAAAAATTCATACAGTTAGGGATTAATGGCCTATCACTTCTGCTATGTCCCAGGGGTTTTGTTCCAAAATATTTCTACATTGGCAATAATTGAAGAGATGTCATATTTTCACAGTTCAATGACCAGCTTCTCATTATGTCTCACTCATTTTAATTCTTTTTATATTTCAGTTCGAATGAAAAGGTAAAACTCCAGCAGTAGCAATGTGCAAGAAAGTGAAGGAGTTCCAGTAACCTGCCACATAACAATTACTTGGTAAAAATAAGGGAGCATTCTTATGATGCTAGAAGATTCCCAGTCCTGAAGTCAGCATTTTCTACACATTTGTAAGACACCTCATAAAAAGGGGTTTTGGACCCAAAGTGGTGGCCCTAAAAATTTAACCACTATAATGGAAAAATATAATTATGATAATTTCAAATTCAATTGCAATCTCATTGTATTTTTGGTTACTTTCACATTTAATGCATATAATTTTCACTCTGTATCAAAAATTGGTACTAAAGTAGGATCAGACATTCTTAACTTGCATTGCTCATTCCCAACTTGTGGTAACTTTTCGTGAACCTCATGATATATTCATGAACATCAGAAGAAAAAATAAGTTCAATTGCTTTGATATATATAATTCTATATATATTCTATATATATAATTCATATAATTCTCTTCCCCTAAAGGATATGCTTGGCACAAGATCTATTTAACCATAAAACCTTGTCATCTAAGATGAAACAAGACAGGACTCAAATTTGAATTTTTATTTATTTCTTGAGGTCTTCTGCCACACTGAAATGTTGATCATCATTGCATACTTTATGATCTCACACCTAGTCTTCATCACAATTCATTGTAGCTCTATCTTCAAGATGTAAATGAGAAGGATATTTTCATGAAACAGCCTGAGAAGAGTAGCAGTAGATGACTTAGCATCAGGTCACAGTCCAAAGGCAGTTGTATGTTAAAGTTTACAGCAAGTATTAGCTGTTCAGTTGTCTCATCCTCATTGTTATCCATCTTGGATGACTCCTGATGTTCACTGCTAACATCTGGAATTCACTTCCACAAAAAATCAGGAATATCCACCAAGATCCACTTCTGAGTTGGATTTCATTTGTGATCAATGAGGGTTCCCTTTGGCCTGGGACGCTTTTCATCTGGTGGTTCTATGTCAACTGTGCTCTTGCCTACTTCTGAGGCAAGTCGCTTGTTCATTCCTTTCCGCACAAGCTGCTTTTCAATGATTCGTGCATTGGCTGCATATGAGTCTGCCACTTCTCTCTGAAACAAAACAAAAAAAGCCTTTAATTTATTCAAAGCTCCTCTAAGAGCTAAGGAAGGCAGTAGAAACAACATACAGCTTCAATTTCATCCTCTTCTTCATCAATGGTTGATACTGTAACAGAGGAGAACTTTCCCATATGTTTTGTATGCCGTGTGACCAGAACTTTCTTTTGCTTCTCCTCATCCTTGCGGAGGCCAAGAATTTTGCCACCATGAGTCTGGGTGACTGCCCCTTTCACTACATATGTGACATTCCTTACCCCCTCATGCTGGTAAAAGAGCCAGAGGCCACAACTGCAGGAAACGGACAATATCCCATCATTAAAAGAACCGTCAATTCCAACTAAGTTTCGTAATCACTCTTAACAGTCAATGCAACATTCTACCCTGCAATGGAAAATCTGGCTTTAAAGCCGTAAAGCCAGCCAAACAAGCTAATGATACATTATAAATTCAGAAATCTTGAATGGAAAAGTACATTAAAAACTGGCTAAATTTACAATATACCAACAATGACAAAAATGATGAAATCTGGATCAAGATAAAAACTTTAGGAACTCAACAATGCTCATGAATACAATAAATACTTATCAGCGAAGGCTTATGAATGACATATTTGAGTTTTCAACAATTGGCTGACAAAAACTTGAATTGATGAAAATTAAAAAATTAAAACTGAAACCTGAACAAACTCAAAGAACCTTATACCTTAATGATTGAAATACATTACAAAAACATCCATAATATCTCAACAGTTATTTAGCCTCTCTAATCTGAGGATTGATAATATATTACTCACTTTCTACACTTTCGTCTCAATTGTTTCTCAATTCCTTCATTCACTCTCCTTACGAATACAGGTTCATCGGGTTCACAAGTCAGTTTGCATGGGTGCTTGCTGCTGTCAATAACTCTGGAACCATCCCTTTTCCTCAATGGCAACTTCTCCAGGACACAATCTGGGCAGATGAAGGAAATGCATCATTTCACTCACTTAGCAAGTATATACTCAAATTTTCTAGTCCAAAGGGAGTATTTGAGTATAGGCTAGCAATTTTATGCAGATGAGTGTCAACAATACATGGCATTTTATCATAATATTGTTGTCACCCAGTTTAAAATCCCGGCTGGAAACAGCTGGAAAGTAGTCATCTCCAGATTTGTTCCTAATTGCTATATCACTAACTGAATGAGAATCATTTTGTTGACTATTTTTGTCAGAGGTCCATCTACAGGAACAGCTGACTTTCAACTGTAAATTTTCCAGCTGGAAACAGCTATTAAAACCAGCTGCATTCCAGTTGGAAAATTCCAGCTAAGAAACAACTGGTACCTACTACTTTCCAGCTCTTTGCCAGCTGGAAATGGTCAGAATTTACAGATTTGGTCCAGCTGGAATATTCCAGTTGGGATTTTAAACTGGGCAGGCACACATGTTGAGCACTACATAGGTCTATGAGACCTGTAAAGGGTCCATGTATCATGATTCAAGATAAGGCTTGAATACCTTTCGTTTTATATTCTAATGGACTTCTTTTTGTTGTAAAAAAAAAAATCAGCTCCTCACATGCATATCCTACAGCTAGCACCACAGACCCTATCCTGGACAAATTACTTTTGCAAAGAATTTATTCTCTACTAACCATGCTCCCACTTCACCTTGACCTAAAGGGATATGGGTAGATTAAATTTCATTGACTATACAGGGTGGTGCACAAAAATGTTGCACATTTCATTAACCTGCATTTTAATTATTTATTAAGTCAGAAAATTAAATGACATGTCATATGATAGACAAACTCATAAGGTTTTTCATGTTTAAAGAGTTGTTTGAAGAGTTCACCGTCCCTTTGGATAATCAGTTGGTAATGTACAACAATGTTTTCAATAACCTTGTTGAGTGTTTTTTGTGTTATGCCTCCAAATCCTGTAACCAAAGAACGTTTGAGTTCATTAATGGTGTGTGCATTTGTGGAGAACACATTTTCTTTAAAGAACCCCCATTTTAAAAAAATCTGGAGGTTTGGAGACAGTGCTAGCCACGGGATGTCCCCTCTCGTATTGATAACACTTTCTCTTCAAACTTATCAGTGTTCTTCTCAGTTGTTGAACTTGAAAGCGTTTTTTCAGGAAAAAAAAAACGGTGCTAAGGGCGTTCATCGTGCATAAATTGATTGAAATGCCTTCACCAAGGGAATGTAGATGACAGCTTTCTGATAAACATCAATGTCAACAATTATGAATATCATCAATAAGTTTGAAGAGAAAGCGTTATCAATACAAGAGGGGACATCCCGTGGCTAGCACCGTCTCCAAACCACCAATTTTTTTCAAATGGGGGTTCTTTAAAGAAAATGTGTTCTCCACAAATGCACACACCATTAATGAACTCAAACGTTCTTTGGTTACAGGATTTGGAGGCATAACACAAAAAACACTCAACAAGGTTATTGCCGTATGTTACAGACTGACTATCCAAAGGAACAGCGAACTCTTCAAACAACTCTTTAAAATGAAAAAATTTTTGAGTTTGTCTATCATATGACATGTCATTCAATTTTCTAACTTAATAAATAATTAAAATACAGGTTAATAAAATGCAAAACATTTTTGTGCACCACCCTGTATTTCACATGTAAACATAATCTGTACCCAATTCTCACATACAGTAAGGATTAAACTTGCTTGGAAAATATGACATCAAGCTTCACTGCCACTAGTAATTTATTTCCTCCTTACTTTTTAAGTCTATTTTTCTCCCCCCTACTACATTAGCCTCATTGCTGTGCTTCAAACATCTGAGGAAGACTACCTTTCACGTAAAATGAGCCCCTAACCTCTATAGCAGGAATTTAACTGAACACTTAGGATGATAATGCATCTACTTCAACTCTTCCCAATTTCAGGATAATGTTTAAAATGCTTAAAGTCAAGTATCCCCTTCAGAACATAGCAACTTACTTTCAGAGCAGTTTAATCTTAGTGAAATAATGAGAAATTGCTTTTTCTATTCATACCATGCAAGTAAGATAACCACCTGCTTTCAGAATGTAGAACACTTACAGGAGATAGGTTAATTCTTGGCCATTTGATTGGAAGTTCCATGTATCCATATGGCATTCTCAGCATAATGTACCATCTTGCTTTGGAAGCAGTTAAAGTGTGGCATATTAACAATTGGGTAAGCATTGGCTGAAAATCATCTCTTAATTTTTCTTCAGAATTGGAATGAATTTATCTATATGCCATTAGAGAAGAAATATCATCCCATCCATTCATTGCATCAATCAACCTATCCCATGAGTCATTCCCAGAACATCCCTCCCCTCCTAGTTGCAAGAATTGGAGAAAGAAATGATGCAATAAAATAAAACATAATAAAATTCTTTAAAATCAAGATGTTCAGAGAGAGAAAAAAATATTAAAGCATTGTCCAGTTGTCAAGTGAAAGAGCAAATTATAGAATATTTCTTGAAATGTGCAATAGTTTATATTGGAAAACTAGTTAAGAAGGCACAGGAGGCATGCTACTATATAAATTATTGCACTATTAAATGACTGACCTATATCATATGGCAATATCATGAGCTGATTCCTGCATGAGAGGTAACAGACCACATTCAGAAGATATGCTGAGTGGAAATTCTTGATGGCAGTCCAAGGAGTACCAAGGTTAGCTAAAGTTGGTCCTAGGCCACATTTCCATTATGTTCTTATGAATTCCAACAATCATTCTAGTGATTAAAAAAAATCATAGGTGAAAGAGAGCATTATTCTGGAGGTTACAGGTAGAGAATCTCAAATGATAAGGGTCTATGATGTATTAGGCTATATTAAGCAGTGTAAAAGTCTGCTTTACATGGGAATTCCTCATGCACACATTTCAAAATATATATACGGCTAGTTGAGTGAAAGAGGGGAAGGCCCATACCATCACCAATCAATGGTCTGACTAAAGCCCAACCTAGCAAGTGATGTGCATAGGTCAAGGATGAAAGAAAAGAAATTCCAAAAGATTATCTGTGTGTGTTCCAATTACAGCGTATTTTCATCACCCACCATAGGAACAATGGTGATATGCCACTGAACAATATGACTCAACAGAATGAACCTTTGGACAATGACCCTTGTTGATGGGATGGTTCACAAAAGTGCAGGGTGTCCAAAAAACGTTTGGTGCATTACGAATATACACAACTTCCAAATGAACAATGCTAGAGCCATGAAGAGTACACCTTTAAGTTTCTAAGGCAGCATTGTTATTTTTGGCATTGGGGTAAGGTTACACTAGTTATAGTGGATACCAATCTAAACTTGTGAAATGGAAAGCTAGCCACATTAGACACCTTCCAGTTTGTGACCTAGAGATCAAACATTGACATGACCTTCATTGGTCAGTACCTCCATTCCTATTACACTTTTTGTAACAAAACTTCATTAGTTGCCTCATTGGCAGGGAATTAATACATCAAACTACCAAATATCCAAGAGGGTTAGGTCAGAAGAACAAGGAGCCCAAGGTCAATCAGGCCAACCTATCCCATCCATCTTTGGAAAAGTATTCATCAAATCAAGCACCACATATTCTCCAAATTAGAAATAAAAATACTATATAAGATTGGTGGGGACCTCATTGAACACTTTATCACATGCATTCAACACTGCTCCAAAGTTATGAATCCTCATAATGCATTGAAAGATTAATGGACATTAATGTTAGTCAATGACAATGGGATGCTTGATGGCAGGCTAATGCCATGTTCATCAAATTCATGAAGGAACACACAGGAACCTAAAGAGACAATTTGATTAAATGGAATCAATTGAATGTTAAGTATGGTGTTGGTAATGTACATATTGGAAACTAAGAAATTGAGATTATTTTCATACTGTACTGATGTTAGTAATGGGCATTAATAATAGTTTGCTAGTTAATGGCTTGGAAAAATTATTGTTTTTTAATAATTTTTCCAAGCCATTAAAATAACAATTGTCAAAATTATTTTCCAGCATTCTGAAAATATATCCTGGTAGAACATATAAATAGAAGATATATATATATAGATGATATAACATAGAAAATATATCCTGGGTTAGACACCAAGACCGTTAATTTTAGCCTAGAACTCACCCAAAATCAAGCTCATCTGTCCACACAAGCAGTAGTACACATAGAGGGGTTTTTCCTCATTATATTCTTCCTGGTCTTTCGTATCAGAGCAAACAATGCTGCGGGACACAATTTTTGGCATTTTGCGCACTCAAGAGCTTCTTGGAACAAGACGTAAGTCTGTGTCAACATACAACTTTTTCTTCACAGGATCCGTAGTTGTGCTCAATCTTGCGCCGCAAACTGGCCGTGGCCATAATAGTGATGCAACCACAAACGAAGTGCTGTACCATGCGAGGAAACTGAGAATGTGTACAGAGTGACCAATAAGCAGAGCTGAGTTCAAAGATAACTCAATATAAGCTTTTAAAAGACCATAATACTTTCCTCATGAATTTTATGCAGCGTTCTCTCATATGAGTTGAGATATTTAGCTGCTATTCTATGAAAATCATTGCCAACACTGTTTTAGGGCTTCGCAGACCACATATCCAAGATGTCGCTGAACGTAGTAGTCATTTGCTGGTGCATTTGACAAGTACTATCAGAATGTTACAATTTAATCGCTTTCGTCTGGGGTAATCATATTCGTATTGACAGATTGATTCCTAATTTTGAGAATTACAGAAATGAAGTATTTTAGAGAATTATGATTCGTCGACGGCTCACGTTATGGCCACGCCTGTAGGCCTGCAGTGAGGCACATGATAGGAACGTTAGGATGTACGTTTAGCGAAAAGATTTTCCTTGCCTCTGGTTGCCTTGGGGTGTCATTTTATCGTAGGCCAATGTGAAGTGTTAACCAAGGCTAAGTTAAACTTACCGCAGACGTTGAGAGATGACAGGGAACTGAGCTAAAGTCTCACCTCTTTAAGTGTGGCTTGCATTTTTTTCCACTTGTGAAGTGAAAAACACAGTAGTATCCTAGAGTTTGGATACTACTGTGTGCCGCTCAAAAATGGCCTCACTTAGTCTTACCAAGACATCAGATATTATTAGCCTCCAAGAGTAGTAAATGTAGCCATCCTTAAGTAACCTCAGAATATTTGGTTTTTGCAAGAAGAGCTAGATTTTGCATGAAGCTCTTTTCTCACCATGTTTTCAGGCAGATGAAATATCTGCTGTTACATCTTTGGATATCTGAAACATATAGAATCCTTGAATAGTAAGTAATTTGCCAAATAGTGAGTATTCTGCAAAGTCTCTCTTTTTTTTGTGCAAAAGCCACATTTTGAACCAGAGCCTATTTCTAAAGCTCTACCCTGTTGTAGGTAAGTTACCTTATTTATGGAATCCCCAACTAAGTGGCAGGAGAATTTCAATAGGTTATATACAGGGTGGCCAAACTCATTTTTGGTGAGTTGTCAATCTGATTGATTGTAGCCTATCGATTCTGATGAAATTTAGTTGACATATAGGGTGACTCAATTTGGGTTTGTGTGTCAAGTTTAAAATCAAAATTCTTAAAACTGTGGGAATGGCATTTAATTTAGATCACAAAAAGCAGGTCCTGGAGCATTCTCCTCTGTTCTCAACCAAGTGAATTCAATCAAAATGCCATCTAGGGCCTTAGGAGGTTTAGTGATGGCAGCTTTAATAAAAGATCACTAAGACAGGTCTTTATTACCTTTAATTTTCGCAAGTCAGTCTCATTCAGGGATGAGGCTTTTGTAAGGTAAACAGGTTGCTGGTCTCTGTTTGATTTTTGAATAAATGTATGTATTGTACATGAAGGGTTTTCAAAGAGTTCATTGCTCACTTTCATTCCAGTTGTAATGCATTCTTTATTTTCACAGGTAATACCATATTGATACAGATTGAAAAAATCTAGTCCTATTTGCTGGTGACTGAATTTTCATAAATTTTTTGGTGTGCTGCCGAAGGGATGTTTCTAAAAGCTTTTTTTTTTATTGTTGCCAAAAGAGAGTGATCAGTTTTCTCATACTGGAGGGCTACCTCACAACAGGTCTTTGAGCAGCTGAAAGGATGTATCTGTGAGAGTGTCCCCTTCAAAGCAACACCACAAAAATTGCTAGTTGCCAGATAAGACCAAACTTTGCCAGTCAACTTCCAGTATGTCTATCACCATCTGTGAAAGAAAGAACATTTGGAACTTTTTTAACACCATTCATGTGTTTTTCTACATTCAAAGACATTAGAGTTCCCTCATGTCTTTTATTGATGGGAGTCTACACCCACATTGAAAAGTCATATATGACTTTGAGATATTGACATATATGATATATGGGACATACACGGTCTATCACATATTATATTATATGAACATATATGGGGGAAAATATCTGATCATATCTTCTTTTTGAAACAATGAGTTTATGATCATAAATGGCTAGGCCATTCAAGAATTTTACATAAAGCATGTATGTCAAATATATGGAGGAGCAGATAAGATACTTGTATGATTTAGTATGTCTACCTAGTACATAGTGGGGCATATGTGTCACACCTGATGAGAGACATGACCAAATCAGGTATGAAACATTCATAAAATCATGTTACTCTCACAAATCTCTCCTGAAAATCAAAAATAACTTCAGGAACTAAGCTGAGAATAGGCACTTCATCTGTCACTTCTGTGAATTTACAAAAACCATTCATTTCCAAAACAGCATGAGTACATCCCAGAGATATCCCCTTGGGACAAGTGAGAAGTCCCAGAGATAACTACTAGGAACTTCTCAGTGATATCAAAATATGTGGGTACCTTTATTTCTGAAACAAACTCATTTCCTGCCATACAGGATAACCCTTTATATTTAAAGGGTTGTCCCAAATACTATTCTTCAACTGAAAGTATCTAAAAGACATCTAGAAGTCCTGAAGACATTCCTTTTGAGATGTTGGAAACCATCTGACTGAAGATGTCCTTAAGATATACCATATAGACCAACCAAGTCGTCCAGTTGGGAGTCATCCCTGGGATGTCACCATGCTGTGTGGGTATGACCATACCATATAGATTGTATACTGTACCTTATGCATATGAAACATATACTGAGTGATGCAAAAGTAGGTATACAGTTAGCTATTTATTCATTATTGCTTGCTATTACTTTTAATTTATTACTTTTACTACTTTTTGTTTATTACTTTTCCAGTACATCTGTAACAGCCATTTTCATTGCTCCAAAGGCAGGTTCCCTGCCATTATCCTCTACCTGTAAATATAAAATTAAATTAAATTAAATTTCTACTGTATACCTACTTTTGCCCCACCCTGTATTTCTAGCAATATAATTTGTGATAGAAGCATGCATGTTGAACATGTATATACAATGTATGGAAGTCCTTTATAAAAAGTATACACTTAAACCAAGTACATCATCATATATGCAGAAACCCATCCCTCAAACCACAGAATTATTTTATTCAGAATATATATGCTACCCATTTATATTTAATATAAAAATAATCCTTTCATGGATTGTATGCTTCAACCATATATGCCCTCAGTTATGTGTTCATATTTCAATGCAGGAAAATATTTGAATTTGTATGGCACAGATAATTGCATATAACTACCATATATGATCTTTCCATATGGGTACAGGTGATGCAGCTGCTGCATCAAGGGCTCATAATCTCATAATCTGTTCCTGATTCTTATGAATGACTTGAAGTGTATGGATAAAAAGTCAAACTCTATTTCCAATAAACATTTATTTATTTGGCATTAAAAATTTACAAAATTCTAAGGTTTTTATATCCCTAGTCCTCATTGCTTCTAGTTGTCTGCAGCTATAGTTTCTAGCTATGATCCATGTTCAATGAATCTATATGTACAGAAAGGAAGAGAAGATGCAACAAAAAAGTGCATGCCATGTACCCCTTGAGAGTGATGCATGACTCATGAATGAGTTGATGGCAACCTGTGCCAGATAATTGTTTCTGACTTGCAATAGCACATTGAGATAAGGCTGCCCTCTTACCAAGTAGGCATTTCCAAGTTAGATTGCCCTCTGTCCTAGGCCATTCCTTATGCTGCTTGATTAAGCAAGTGAACTTCCTGGTTTTTCTGGCAATGCTTTTTTTTTTCATTCCCTTGTAGGTCCTGTGTAATGTGTAGGATTCATGTCCCTGGGAGCATGTTGGTAAAAGTTGAAAATGGACAATGGAGTTTCAGAGAACTACCAAGTCTCTATCATCCGAGAGGAATTAGTAGAAACTGTTACAGATGGTGAAGTGAAAGATGAGGAAGGTCATGCCAAGAAAAGTTACTCCTGCCCATACTGCCAGAAAACTTTCAAACGTAAATTCAGTCTTGACTGCCATGTTAAAGTACATACTGGAGCAAAGCCATACGAATGTGAAGTATGTTACAAGAAATTTTCTTTGGCCAGTAATTGCAAGAAACACACATTGACTCACTTGGACTACCGACCACATCAGTGCAAATTTTGTGGGAAAAAATTCAGTCAGAATGGGAATCTGCTGAGGCATGTGCTCTCTATTCATGGCAAAATGAAGGGATTTGGAATGCCTCTTGTGTCTCATCCACAAAAGACTGTCAGTGCCTCAGATGTGCCTCTTTACATTCAAATCAGTGAAGCTGTAAAAGAACAGGAAGCTCTTTCACAACCATGTGCCTTAGTGTATACCCAAAGTGTCTTAAAAATGCATGATGAAGATCAGAACTCAGCTTTCAAGCCTCTTTTGTTGACTATGGAATCAGATGTGGAAACATCCCTTATCAATGCCATCAATGCTGTTCAAGATGAATTGAGAGGGGAGTTAGAGGACTTGGCTTCAGTGCAATGCTCAAGATGTCAACAGTTCAACACCCCACAGTGCCTTAAGGAACACCTGTCTCACCCTTTCCATTGTGATACCTGTGGTCATACCTTTTCCAAGAAGTCTGCCTTGATTCAACATGAGAGCTTTCATAGTGCCTTCCGTCCATATGCTTGCCCAAACTGCGGGCTCAGTTTCCTAGAGACTTTCCAGAAAGTGAACCACCTTACTAAATGTCCTGGTAAGCATGGCCTTATCAGGTGCGCATTATGCAGCAAGGCCTTCATCCACAAAATTTCATGCTCCATCCACATGAAGACAAGGCATGCCATCAGTGAGGGAATCACTTTCATCCATGATGACGATCTAGCAGACCATCCTTTGGACTTTGAGACCATGGTAGCTGAAATGCAAGGCAATGTTAGAAGTGATCTGCTCTCCACAGATAAAGACCCAATTGAAACTTCTGAAGATTTCAATGTCATGGTGGCTGAAATGCAGGCTAAGATTGCAGACCAGTCACATAGCCCTCAGGGATCCATTTCAAGTGGTGAGGTTGAGATGATACCAGAAGTCAGTGATGAGAATCGTCGACCAAATGACCACAATATAGAGTTGCTTCCAGAGGTCATCTCAAAGAATGGCTTGAAGACAGTGAGGTTAGGAGTCCTATGCAAGCAACTGCAGCAGCAGATCTCTTCATCAAAGGACACCTTGTTAGGTGTTGCAGCAAAGTCTGTTGAGTCTTCCAATATCATCCAGTCTGAGCACTCTTCCATGGTGCCTGTAACTCTTTCTGAGATTCCAAAGATGAATGGCACTTATCCACTTGTCTCACTCCTTGGTGCACCAACACATAGCCCAAAACACTGGCGTCCTCTTAGTAAGAGGACACGTATATGTCCCATCTGCAACAAAGTGTTCACTAAAACATGGGGCTATACATGCCACATGAGAATTCACACAGGGGAACGTCCATACACTTGTGAGTTTTGTAACAAGAGCTTCACAACCACAGGGAACTTGGACAAACATCGTGTGGTGCACACCAAAGAGCGCAAGTACTCATGTGAGATTTGTGGTGCACGTTTCACACAATGGGGAAATCGAGAGCGACATAGAAGAGTCCATTCAGAAGATTTGCTACCATGTTGTTATTGCCCTGTAAAACTGGGTTCTGCACCTTTGTTGGAGGAGCACGTGATGGTGCATCATCTACATAGTAAGCATATGCATGACGAGGACATCCATTAGAACGTTTTTATATAGGCTCTTATATTTTTATTTGTGGGCACCTGATTTAAGAAAAAATATAGACTTCAAATAGTGTCCTATGGATATTTTGCTACTGTTTGCTTGTGGGATATTTTATGAATTTTAATTCTTAATGGATTGCTTGTGGCTGGATTGCATGGATCCATACCTCCAAGTGTCAAGGTGCTTTTCTGCATGTTTTTTATGATCTTTTTATGAAATTGGGATCATTTGTCTGCTTGCAAGAAACGTTTTCAAGGAATACACTTCTGTTTCATGTTCATGCATATAATTTTTCGTCGATACTGTGCGTATTCAGTTGTGACCCGGGTCATGACTCAAGGTTCATGATTCTCAGCAGGTGCTACGCTTTTCAAGAACTATTATACCCAGGATTGATGACATTGTCAAGAGATGTCACTATGGAGTAAAATTTATTTTGAAGCCTCAATGCAAGCGTTGAACTGAGACCCTTGAGTCATGACTCGGGTCGCAACTGAATGCACCCACTGTGGTGCCTCAATGCTGTTGCAAGATCACCAACACCAGGGGGAAATGTATATTCCAAACCGCACCTTGATCATTATTTAATGATGGTTATGCTTCTAAAAATGATCTCCAGCTTGTCATAGGAGAAATTGCCTCTATTCATGACATGAGAGCATGTTTTAATCAAGTGTGGTATGGATGAGACTCTTCCAAAGATGAAACATACCATTTTCTCTATGCATTTTGCAGTCTCTTTCTTACTGGATGTGGGTAGAAATTATGCTGCCCTTTCCCGATATATTAATAGACCTAGAAGCATTCCTTACACTGGGCTGTTAGACACTGATGCACTCCCGATACGTCTCCATGCACTGACTAGCCTACACTGGAGTGCAGACCAGCAGAAAACACTGTTTATGGGGCAAATCAAATCATGGAAATGAGCCTACTTGAACTTGATTTTAACGTAACTGAATTGTCGCGTTTGTTGCGTTTTTTTTTCTGGATGGGAGAAAATCTACTATTGCCTAATACACATGCACTGATGCGCAAGATTTTTGGAAGCCGGGAGAGGGGTTCGATATTGTTGCTGAGTGACGAGCGGGAGGGGGGGGGGGTGTTCGACAAGAATTTCGGTGCGATAATACACCATTCCAAAAAAAATGTGATGGAGAGGTAGTGGACGGGACGATCACTTCCATCTTTTCTCGATCGCCTTACTGAAACTCCTGCATGAGTCGTCATGTATTGTATCCTAAATCAAGGGGAACTAAGAGACCTTCCAACCATAAAGAAATAGTCGTGATCGGTGCACGGAATTTCGAACAATGAACGAGGAGCGTACAATATCCACTTAAGCTCCGGGAGAGCGCTCCATTTTTTTCTTGGAATGGTGTAATATTCGCCTATTGGCCTATTCGCCCAGACCCAAACACTTAAGGATTCCCCAAAGGCTAAGGGAAGCCCAAACCCCTGCGCCCCCCTCCCCTTTGGGGCGCGTACACGTGCACTGCCATGTTTTTAAGCAGTTAAGGGTTAAAGGACCTCGACCTCCCTTCCCTTTCTTTGTTGCAGAGATCACAACAGTTCTTCCCTCCCTATAAAGCGGCATATTGTACCTACCGAACTTGTTCATGATGAAGGCCAATTTTTTTCCAATAAAGTCCTAGATTTTCAAAACCTTAGACTCCATACTTCCTGTTCATTTTCACTCAAATATATAAACTCTTTTAACTTAGGAGCACTGACCTTTGACATATAGCTGACTTTGTGACAGTCATATTGCATTTCGAAGAACACAACTCCATTCGGAAGTCTGAATCTTCTGAAATGTACGTGCATGCATGCGTTAAGGATACAGACTAAATTGTAGTGATGGGAAATCCATAAACATGTCGAATATTAATATTTTATTGCTTGATGCAAGTACATAATAGAAATATCGATATTTATGAGTCAAACGTGAGATATGCTCAGGCCTGGTTGTTTAACCGGGATTCCTATCACTGGTAATTTAAATAATATCTTTCAATTGGAAATTTGGCGAGTTCAAAAGTTAAAAAAAAAACAGGCGCGAAAAGTAAAAGTAACACGAGTAATATATCAATAGAAAGAGCTTGGGGAGAGCTTTCTTTTGACAATAGTTTCAAGTTTGAATCTTGTTCGAAACAGAAAGTACGAAGTCAAAATTTGTGAAAATAGGCAATATTGGACTTTTCAAATTTAATTTTAAGTCGTTTCAAATAAAGTAGGAAGTTGAAATTTAGCTATTAGTATTACCATTGCTTTAGTTTACAATGTTCCAAAAGATCTTTGTGTTACCCTACATCCTAATGCTCAAAATTTATGTGCAGTTTTGGCAATGTTTATCATTTTTTAAATTGAGTAACTCATCTTGTAATGACCGTAGCATGTAATGTATTTAGTGCACTGATTCTACATTGCCTCAGCTTTAATCAGAGTCCAAAAACACTTTTCTAGCCCGACCTGGACCAAAGATAGCGCTTTGAACCCAAGGGTCACTTTTCCTCTTGAATGCTAACTTTGGGGCCGCATATCTCGAAACCCGTTAGAGCCAGATCGCCGAGATTTTGGTTTTTTCGTGACTCTCGAAAGCCATCATGCACAATTTTTTTCCTAGCAAATTGGCGTTCGAAGCGCAACGGAAGTTCCTTGAATTTGACTACTTGAGCTGGAATGCCTTACATGTGTTAATTCTCCAGTGTCAAAATTTACCGAAATTTCAACATTTGCAACTTAACACAAACTGAAACCAAACTGGCTGAAATTTTTCCGAGGAGAACGATCGAAAAAGATGGACTTTGTCTCAATGAACTTCGCAATTTCATTTTGCTCCTACCTCTATATATGCCTCATATTGTGCTTATACAGGTATATATATGGCAACGATAAAGTCCTGCTATCTCAATTTCCAGCTTAGTTTTTAATGGATCTCTTGCCGAAATCAAGGGATAGAGTCCCCTCTAGTCTCTGTCCCTTGGTACAAGGGATGAAAATCTTTTGCATCGAATTATTGTGATGGAAGGCATACGGATATCCTAGAAGCTCGAGTTGACGTAGTCGAACAATAGCACCTTAGATACGACAGTTTGCCTACCAAATCACAGTGGTTTAGGTATTGATCCAAACCTCTTTGGTGCTAAACAGAGGGAAAATATTTGGTTTAATCCCCCTCCCCCAGAAGCAAGAAAATTAAATTTTGGAGTGTAGTCATCGCCGTCAGAGAGAAGTAAAGGCATTCAAGAACATGCGTTGCCATTCCTGAAAAATGAGGGCCCAGTTAGTCTTCCGGTGAAGCTTTGTCGAGACAAGACTTCATGAACTCCTCGTTAACTTGCGTTTAGCTGAGGAGGAGGCACGCATGTCTTCTCATCGTCATTTCAACTGGTATCATATTGGAGATTAATAATCCAAGGGAGAACTGCTTTCCCTCCAGAGTTTCCAAGAATCGAAATTATGCAGGCAGCTAGGAAAAGCAAAGATATCATACCCATGGTGGTATGACTTGAAGCATAATTCAAGTAGGATGGGATCATTCCATGATTCGTCCCATGCCCCACAACGGACATCCCATGGACATACGAGGGATTTGGCACGTAGGACGTCTGTATTCCTCACCTTCTGGGATGTCCTCTGGATGTTCCAAGGTTATCCACATCCGCAGGACATATCCATCATAGGGACATCCATGGGATGTCATCTGCTCTACGTGGGATTCATTTGGGATGCCCTGTTGCTCATTGGGAAAGCATGGGTGAAGGAAACGAGCTCGTGGTTTGCGATCAGTTCTTCCTCGAATAAAGGGCATTTCACTCTTTTCGTATCTTGCGTCCTTAGCGTGGATACTTTGGCAGGTAGGCAGACGCATGCGTGCACACATGTCCAATTACATCCAATGGTTTTCACAAAGCGCAAGGTTTGCGTGTGGAATTGGGATCAGTTCGATTCGAGACGTCCCCACGCATTCATAGGAAGGTGAAGTTTTCCCGGGGCGTCAATATGCTGTCCTATATGCGACTTGACGCGTTGGCGTTCTATCGGCACCGATGGAGACGCAGGTACGAACGCGCAACATGCAAACATGAAAATCTTGAGCTTCCTGCATGCATTTCTATGTCGCACGCGTCACGAAAAGAGACGCAAAGGGTGAAACGGCCTTAAGCCACGCAAGTCTTTCCAAAGCGAAATCAGCGAGACATACATTTTTAAAGGATGGTTTCTTGCAGTTGAAAGTTGTTTGTCTTGTCAAGCCCAATTGGAAAAATCTCGAAATAACACAATTAACGCTTGGCTGTGAATAATCTTTCATGAGATGAAAGAAAATTTTGTTCCTCGTTGCGGAAAAAGTGATAGGACCTTTGGTGGAAATTCGAGATAATACATGGAAAACACCAATAAGAGTGGATCGAGTCCCACGTAAACGATGAATTGGAATTTAATACACGTCTTACAATACAAACGTAAGTAAACTCACCTCGCGAAGCAAATGCTAGAATTAAGTTGTTGCTCAACATTATCCTAGGATCTTACCGTACAAGACTAAATAAAATTTCTCTCGAGTCTGTCTTAACGATGACGTGTCGTACAAACCGGTCGCAACCAAAATGCGACAAACATGTGTACCTATCAGTGTATTACAAGCGCTGTCGTCCAAATGCGCCACTTTACGAGAGACATCTTGCAAGATTGCTTGACCATACCTGATCCACCGCAGGCGAAACATGTTAGAAATGAAATACGAAGACGGGAGAAGAGACAAGGTTGAGTCGACTTCTGCCATTGTCAGTTTGTTTGCGGGAACCGTATCGTAACCCAGTCAGAAAACCGGAAAGGAGATGATCTTTAAGATATCTCAGATTGTTAGAGTCCTTAGTGCTCGATGGCACCTGTAGCACGATGCACCAGGGTTTTCCAGCGGTCCAATCATGTTTCAGGCATCGTATCCGTACTCAAGTCCCTCGGACGAGAAGTGATTGGTACGGGAGATTTTT